AAATATTTTTTATCTTTTCTATAAAAATAGAGAATATAATATTGTTAATTAATTCAACTATATTTTTTATATGCAGTTCCGAGAAATGACTTACACTCTTTCTTTGTATATGATATACAAATTGTTTCTAAATATTTTCTTTTTAACGAAGAACTGTGCGTATTATTTAGCTGAATTCTAATTTTCAAGAATAAGTATTTCTAACTCTGAATATCTTTGATACTCCAACACATCTACCAGCATATCTACGCAAGAACTTCATGACTTCGAAACCAAAGTGTATCTGTTTTTTATTTCAACATGTTACAACTAAGTATTAGTTGAATTCAAAGCACTTGGTGAATTTTCTAAGGCGATATAATCGTTTATATATCATTCAATTTCTCCTTTTCGTCTTTCTCGGATATTTTGTCCATCGTGACTTCGTTCATGGCAACTTTCGCGCTTCCGCCTATGCAGGTGGTGAAACAGGTATCACCTATACCAAAGTTCTCGCCGTCCTCGATAGATTCCGGCATCGGTTGGTTTAGCGTTTCGGGTAGATAGAGCGCCAAGAAGCCCGCCACCAGGGCGACAAAGCCAAAGAGTGCGGCTGGTACTCGTGGGTCCAGTGTGTCCAGCAGAAAGATCATCGGCGTGAGAGAGCCGCTGAGACGTGCACACATGGAACCAATACCGAGCGCCGTATTTCTCACCACCGTGGGGAACAGCTCGGCTGTGTAATTATACACCACGGCGAACGAACCGGCTATACAGCACTTACCTACGAGCACTATCGTGACCGTGGCCATGGCCACTAGGTCGCCAGTCGTGCCGGTGATGATGGCGGCGCAGATGCAGCACACGCCGGCTATCATCATGAACGAACTGATTAGACATCTTCTGCCAAGGCGATCCATGGTGAATATTATTAAAATGTACGCCGGTATCTCCAGCACGCCACTGAGGAACAACATGAGATACGGATTGCCGACGAGACTACCCATATTGAGCGTCAATCCATAATAAGCGATCGAATTTGCAAACCAATTGAGACAAATGTTTAGACTCTTTCTGCGGAGATTTGGTGTTCGGAAAAGATCCAACGCACCATGTGATTTTTCCTCCTTGGTCTCCTGCTGTACTTTCGATTTACCGATCAGCTTGGCGGCGTTCACGTGGATGTCGCTGCCGTTCACCTTTAAGCCTTTCTGTACGATGATGATCGCCTCAGCAGCACGATTGTGTGCCCACAGCCATCTAGGCGATTCGTCCATCAGCCACCAGTGGCCAAGCAGAATTACGCTGTGCAAACCATACACGATTTGGAGCCACATACGATCCTTGAGTACAATGCCCCATGCAGCCACCAATACAAAACCCGCAGCAAAGATTAATTGGAACAACACGCCACACACAGTTCTTCTGGACGAACCCACTAGTTCCATCGTCAGTACGAATCCTGTGATGTACGCGCCGGCGGAACCAAAAATACCATATAGAAAGCGTATTGTCAGAAAGATATAGTAGTTGTTCACTAGGGCAACTAATACTCCAAGCACTAATTGCGCCACGGCAGACACGTAAAATATGATCTTCCTGCCATACTTGTCTGCCATGCTACCGAGAGTGACCGCACCCACAAACACGCCGAACATATACGAGGATTGCGCCGCGGCGCTCATCCAACGTCGCGAGCAAACGAAGTTCCATTCCATGCCGCGTGACGACTGAAAGTATGTTGTGTCATAGGTCCACGAGTCGCATTCCCGGATGATGTTGTCGTGATCCAGATAGTGACAGCTATCGAGATGACGTGGAAGAGGCACGCCCGAGTTGTTCCAATTGTGAGTAGTAAAATTGAACAGCTCCTTGGTCAACGACTCGTTCGTTTTAGGGATGTTGCAATGATGCCCTGGTACCGCCGCGACTGTCAGTAGAGACAGCATGTGCACACCGGCCGTAAGAGCGGCGAATAAGTGAAGGCAATGCTGCCGGAATTGATATTTACCGAATTCACCCAGGTGAGACATAAGCTCTTCGAGATCTTTGTCCACGCTCGCCATCTCGTTCGCAATCGGAAAATTTATTCAGATATTTTGCTGGACTACTGTGGCTATTTAAATCGTTGATCGTCCTCGAGTTGGATGGTGCATGCGTTTACGCTGAAAGAACATTTACAAATGTAAATTATTCAGCGTACTTAAATTGCGAAATAAAAGAGAGAATGTGGATTCACATTTTACATTTTATATATATCTATTGTATATAATTATGTATATATAAAATCTTTTATTAAGAATTATTAATATTATATATTAATATTTATTTAATACATAAATAAAGTTTCTGATAATGAATATGGCCATATCTCAGGAATATTACAAAAATTAATGTACGTGTATGGAGATAATATCTATCGATCTATCAAATGAAATGGCAGTCCTACTTAACATTTAAGCATTATTATAATATACAGGGTGTCTCGTAATAATGTCGGAGCAGCATTGGGAGCGTAGAAAGAGTCAAGGGGAACAAAAAAGTTTTATACTATTTTGCAATTTTCGCAATAGTTAACAAGATAAATTACTAAAAATAGCCGAATATTGATCTTTAATAAATTTTTTCTCAAATACTATCAACTTTACAGAAAAACTGTAAGAGACAAAAATTATTTATTTTCTTCTCATAAAGTTCTGAGAATTTTTTTAGAATTTTCTAATACCGTATTTTCTCATGATAATAAAAATAAGAAAATGCAGTATTAAAAAGTTGATAAAAAATTCTGAAAAAATTCTTAGAGTTCTATGACAAGAAAATAAACAATTTTTATCTCTTATAGTTTTTTTTATAAAATTGTAGTATTTGAAATAGTATTTGAAAAAAAAAATATAAAAGACCAATATTCGGCTATTTCTAATAATTAATATCTTATTAACTATTGCGAAAATTACAAAATGATATAAGACTTTTTTGTTTCCCTTGACCCATTCTACACTCCCAAATGCGGCTCTAACCTAACAGACACCCTTTGTATACATAATTTTTCTATACATTATGTTAAGAAAGTTATTGAAATTAAAAAATTCAAATTTAACAAAAATATATAATGTTATAATTGAATAAATTTTCAAATATTGATTAAATGATTAATAAATATTTCTATGCTTACTATTTTCTTTGTTAATATATATATATATATATATATATATATATATACATATATAAAATATATATATATAA